AATGAGTAGTGGCTTTTTCTTCAGTGAGCATGTCCCACAGCTTGGATCAGCTGCTAAACTCTCTTTCTTGAAACACCACCTCTCCTGATACCTGCTGTGCAGACCTCAGATTCCTGCAATCATGAAAATGTAGACAGTCCCACTGAAAAGGCAAAAGCCATACATTTCCTTGGAAGATTTGCATGACCAGCTTCACCTTCACATGACAAATAGGAGGCAGGTCTTCTCATGCATCCTACTCTAGTCCGCTTCATTCCAGTGGAGGTTTTAGGACTGCCTTGGGTTCTGCCATAGAATGAGCACAGCCAAGCACATTGTCCGAGCCTGGTGCTATAGAAGCAACTGAACACCCAGGCTCTGGCACAAAAGTGCTTTTCAGGCTGTCTGTTAAGACACTAGGCAGCTAGATACCTCTATAGGCAGGCAGCTGCATTGAACCCATGTCAGACACAAAGTGATGCTGGAGACTTAGCAATCCACATAATTTACTGCAACACTCAGGCAGTTACTTGCAAGTATGCCCCTTCATCTCCAGACTTCAAGCTTTGGCTTTATTTTCTTTTTTAGGATAAAATCCTAGCACACTTTCAAGAACTGTACTAAGATGCATGTCATCCCAGGGGGTGGGGGAGGCAAGAGGATTTCATAAAGCTAAAAAACTTACCAGTACACTGTAACCTGCACAGCTAGAGGCCAAGAGCTGCTGTCCCACAAGCATGCCACTCATTACCTGTGGGCACATATGTGTTAAACATCTGCAGCTGCCAAAGGCTCTGCTGAGGGATCAGAGACAATTTATGATATTCCTCTATGCCAGCTGATGGTCTCAGTCACCCCCTAAGAACTTAATGCTTGGTGCCACCTCCCAGCTTCCTGCAAGCACATCCTACAGAGGGTATCTTTCCCTGCCAGCTGCACCACCACCATCTGGAAAGAAGCCAAAAGGTATGCACTTTGCCGTCAAACTGGCCTGCACTGCAGCCATCTCGGACTGAGCATGCACCACTCTGAACACAAACCAACACTGCGAATTCCAGTCTTGGCCTCCCACAACTACTTCTGCCTCAAGCAACTTCTTGTTGGAAAGCAAGTATGCTTGCTGTATTACCATGGTGTCCTTACATGGTTGCCAGGGGGAAAAAAATTCCTAAATTCAGCCATTGTCAAAGGTAAGCAGGAAGTGATGCTAGGTGGTGACACTACTGCTAGGAAGTAGATGTCCAGGTAGTGACACTACTGATTTTCCTCCTGGTACCTTGGTAGTGAAAAGCCTCAGGAAGGGTTCAAAGAAAACTCAACATCGAATGCCCAAGTTTTACAGCAGATATTGAACACACTCCTAACTGTGACTCCTGGCCCTAGGTAATCAAAAGGAAACTCCCCCAACAAGATTGACTTACAGTGGGGTAAAAACAGGATAGATTCAGAAAACAATTACATTCACCAGTTCATCACACAAATGTAGGAAAATATTTAAAACGGGGCTCATTCTTATTTTACCGAGTAAGCAGTGCTTGGAAACAGGACTGTAAGGTTTACATTTGATACCCTTGCCTCAACAATAGTGTCTGCATACATGCAAGGTGCAAGGAAAGAACTTTCTGTAGCTCAAACATCCAGACCCACAGCACAGACATAATCAAAAAGGCTCGCTCTTTATTTTAAACATAAAAAGAAACATTTTACACAGCACTGTTGGAAGTATTCGGTACCTGCATTCCATAATTGTGCCAAATGCTTTATTTTATAACTTTGAAATTAAAACAAAAAAAAGAAAATATCTTGCCCTTCTGCTATTTGATGTTCAAGCTTGTCCTGGATAGAAATCCCAAGTGCATGGAGGAATTTACCAGCTTAACCAGGAGATGTGGCAATGCAAACAGAGGAAGATCAACGATCAACATGAGCCCTTAGGATACTTTGACAATACCACAGGTTGCAGCAGGGAGGATATGAATGTTTGCACTGAGTCTCAGGCAGATTACTCTCCTGATACTCTGCAGGTTTAATACACAGCCAGATGCACACACACCTCCACTCACACAAACCCTGGTCACACAGGAAATAATACTACTAATAATAAAAACCATGAAAAGTGACCTAGATTTTTTTTTTTTCATTAGAGATAATACTCCCACTCTACTTTTAAAAAAGGGGATAATACAAAATTGGCACAAGTAGAAGGAAACCTGGGGGTAAGTCTAGCCCCATAGCTTCTAGCCTTCCTACTACAGCAAATTCGGGGTGGAAGGGGATGCAGCATTGCCTTCCAAGGGGCTGGCAGCAGTATGAGCTAGCAGCAAACTTGCTTCACTTGGAATGACAGAGATAGTTTGTTATGGGCCATGAAAGGAGGTCAGCATTAGCTAAGACATGGGGACCTTTTGTTTGAACAGGGAGCTCTGACCAGAATAACCCTGAGTTTTTTCCAGCAGGGAGAAAGTGTGCTATGTTGTGTGCTTGGGAAGAGCTGACGGTTCCCTGCTCATTCATTCCATAATTATTGCATGACAGTCATGATCTCCTCTCCCTAAAACTTAACCAAGAGCACATAAACAAGGAGTCAGTCTGCAAGGACAGAAAGTGACTGATGCTGTGCTTTGAACTTCATCACCACTACCACCCCTCCCAAGATGCTCCAATACCACAGGCCTTCTGTGAAGAAAGCAGATGTTAATGCAGGAAAGCAGCTGCTAGATCAGTCTGGGAAGGACAGCCAGCATCCCAAACATCAGAATGGTGTTTCATAACATCCAGGGGAAAAAAGCAAGATTTCACTAGAGCAGACTGATAGGAGGGGAAGAAAAATGCTTGCTGTCAAAGTAATATCTGAGTGAATCCCTTCCTCAACTCACTCCCTTTGGAAAGCATCACTACAGATTTCTGAGCTTTCACAGTGGAAACTAGAGACTGCTCTGCCCCATTCCTCAGCAGAGGCAGCTATGTCTGCCTGCAACAACAGGCCTTTTCAGAGCTCTTCCAGAAAGGAAAACACCAGGCCAGAAAGAAAAGTTGCTATGAATGTTCAGGCCAAAAGTCTTACAGAGGTTTATAGGTTTTGGGGGTCCCAGTTTTGGAACACTACATGAAATATCTTAGAGATTCAAATAACAAGTTGCAAGCCCCAATTCTGCAAATCAAGTCCTTTTTGAAGACATCTCACATTCAGCTTCCAAAAATCACTGGACACCTCTATGCATACATATGTATACACATGCGACTGCATGTGTGTTCTCATGCAGGAAGCAGAACAGCCTTCTAGAAAAAATCCTCATGTCAGCCTCAGAACAAAGGTCACAATGCAAGACAGGAAAAAAAAACCCCACACAAAGAAAACTTACTGAAAAAAAAATTAATTTTGGAATAGCAACAGTGTTGAGTGCAAAGTTCCACAAACCCTAATGAGAAATGAAGCCTTCATAGCACAGATACTAGAACTGCAGCTCCCCTGGAATGTGCAGTGAGATGAGCTATTAGTGAAGCAGACTGAATACACAATGAATGTCTAGATTGGCAACAGCACACCACAGCCACTAACCTTCCGTGGATGCTCTCCTCTAGCATCTTTTATCTTAAAAAAAAAATAATCTGGAAAGGATTGAGCCCTGGCCTCAACTCTTATGTTTCTCACCCTTCTTGACACAAGCCAAACCCTGGCTGTGACATCATGTTGCAGTACAGTCCCACTTCCTTGTTTGTTTATACACAGTATCTTTATTCTGACTTTTATTGCTTAGAACACCAGCTGTGCTGGAAAGACAGAATTGCCTGGCAAAGGAGCTGCTCCCACTCAGGAGCCAGGTCAGTGTATGTGGAAGACCAAAGCAGGGCTTCTATACTATAGCACCTAGGAATAGGTCTCAAACCCACGGGGAAAGCCCTGCTGCAGGCCCATGCACAAGACCAGGTTCTTTGGAACCTGAAGCATTCTTGCTGCCCTCTTGGGCTTGCTCCTATTCCTACCCTGAGCTGCACCTCAGCTACTGCAGATCTCAGACTCCGCTAACAGGTTCAAGGGTTACCACTGAGTGACTGGCAAAAGCAGCACTGGAGTCTCGTCTGTGCATTTGGTAATACATAGTTTACAAGTCTTCTCTAAACACGATCAGTTGGCCAACTGCAGACAAAGATCCGTCTCATTTTTATTATTTTTTTCGTAAGTCACACTATCACCAGTGGAGCAAGGTCTACCACCTCTCTGCCGAGACCAGCAGAAGGCTAGGCCTTGAACCTAGACACCACGTGCCCCCCTGCCACAAGCTGAACAGGGTCTCAGGCACAATGTGAGCAGCTGTAGTGGAGAGAAAAGAAGGTGGAAGGGTCGGGGAGAAGGTGGCCATATGCAGACATCCAACTAATGTTTGTCTGAGGATTGACTCTTCAGGGTTGCCCAGTTAACCCCTATTCACCACAGCCAAGAGCTTTGAGCACTGAAAATAAAATAAAAAAAGTTTCAAAAAAGTAGTCTCAAAGACCTCCAGCCAAGTTACGTCTTGTGGTTAACTGCAAACTCTTTGAAAGCCAGGGAAGAGAAGGCATGCTAACAATCATAAGCCAGTTCTTTGCTGGAACAGTCTCATGAGGCACCAACAGAGGAACCTTCTCCAGCCTTCAATCCAGCACAGAGAAGTCTGAGATACCAACGTGGACAGAGAAAGGGAACAGGATGGTGTGATGGGAGTAGAAAAGTAGATTGGTTAACATGAAAGTCTAACACTTCTACCAGTCCCTTTCCCACCCATCACCCTGCCCATCATGCTTTCATACAGGGACATCTTTTCAAAACCAAGAGAGGGTGGGGGGCAGGGGGGACACCCACCAAACAAAAAAAACCCCTTAGTAAATTTTTTCACAGGGCCCCGCTGAAACAAGGCTCAACAGTTTGCACATTAGAAGGACATGATCCCTATGCAGAAAGTGCTGCTGGAAAAGGAGAACTCCGAGTCGCTAAATATGGCCTGAATGCTCTCAGGACATGATGTGTAACAAGGAGAAGCTTGAGGTCCAGGCTGAAATCAGAGAGGAAACACACTGTCTTGTCTGGGCCTATGAGCGAGTGTCTTGGCACAGTCCAAGAGACCCATGAGTCTCTCCCAAAATGCAAGTGTGTCTGGCTCCCACGCTCAGTCCATCTCCATCGACATTAGTCGGCGACGCTCTCGTCTTGTTTCCTGCACTTCCTTCTTGCAGCACCAACGGGAGCTGCAGTAGCCAATGAGGCAGGATAAAAGTCCAATGACAGTGGCCAGACCAATGCCAATCAACAGGGGATACTTGAAAGCATTCAGAACTGAAAGAGGAAGGCAAAGTCATTAGATATTACTGAGAAATTCAGAGATCCCCTTTATTTGTTCTTGCCTAAAAGAGAAGAAAATGCCACATTATTCAGTCATGGGCAGATTCAGTATTTCCGAAGGAAATTACATTAATTTTTCTTCTTGATTTCTGTGTTTTGAGGAAAATTAGTCTCTTACTGGATTCCTTTATCTTCTCACCCTAATTCTTCCTCCACCATTTCAAAGCCTCAGGGAGGCTGGAAACACCAGAGGAACCTTGCAGTGAGACAGCAAAGCAGAGCTAGTTCCAAGAGGTATTCTATTACCTGTTCCTCTAAACAAAAGCCTTGCAAAGTTTCCCTATCAGAGGCAGACTGTGGCTGCATTCTTTGTCATATGTTTCCAAATGGCAAGGAGTGGACTCCTTTATGCTTTGCTTGATTAGAACTACTCGTACAGTATATTCACTGCCACTCAGCAACCTTGTCTAATCAACCTCCAAAGTTGGTACCTAAACAAGAAATTTGATTTGTGGGCACCTACTGCTCAGTTAAAAGGCAGGGTCAAGAACTGTATGGAGTTTAGAAAGTACAGTTATAATAGTTATCTGCAAAGTAGGGACAACAAAAACTTCTGATTCCTTTCATGTTCATGGAACTTCCCAATATGACCTTTCCTGGAAATACTGAGAAGAAAGCAACTAGTTCAAAACACCTCCTGGATTAATTTTCCTCCTTAGCTAAGTGCTGAATGCAGCATGTAGCATGCAACCTGCTTCTCATGAAGTCTAGCAACACTTGCAAGGTTGGAAAGCAGATAAGGCATTAAGTGCAGGGAGCAGCATGTCTTGTGGTTAGGAGAAGGAGGAAGGAGTCAGAGCTTTGACTTTCTGTTCTCAGCTTTGATATTAACCACAGCATGACTCTACTTCAGCACGCCCCATCTGCAAACAGAGCCTTCCTCCTGCAGGTAGCAGAAGGGTTAACACTTGGAGAGAATACTATGCCTTGATTGAAAGGTGCCCCAGCTATGCAAAACATCACCAAGAGATGATCAAGAAAGAGAACACACCAGTCTCATCGAGTATGATCTGTTCAGGCCTACTTAGCCTACAGAATCTGGAATCAGAAGTTGCAAACAATAGAAAAAAGTAACAAAATCTAATGAGATTATCACAGGCACCTTTAGTAATAGCCATGGAGAATATGTGTCACAGAAAGACATAACAAGGTGTTAAAAAAAAAATTGCATAACTCACTGTAATCACTTACCATCCATTTTCACAGATAGAAAGATGGGTTTGGCTCTGATGTCAGGTTCCCGCTGCCATACACCAGTGGCAGATCGCACCCACGGAGTCACTACGCAATAGTGGTTCCCAAAGTCATGGTCCTCACAGCCATGCACACGGAGCCGGAATTCCAGCGGGCTGATTCTCTCCAGGCTAAGATCACTGCTCCCATTTCTCCTGCTCTGCGTGACAATCCCTCTCCGGTCCAACGAGGCCAGCAAGATGGGCTCTCTGTCCAACGCAAAGGAACGCACAGCAAACCAGGAGATATCAAAGGACATATCATCTGTATTTGTGGACAAAGAAGAATTTAGACATGTTGGTGAGCTCCAAAGAGTATTCATAGTGCCAATTCTTAGTGGAAAGGTTAATCTGCAAGCAGCATAGCCAACACTGGTCTGACAGTGGAAGAAAAAAGAAAGAAAAAAAGAAAAAAGGAAAAAAAGAGTGCCCTGAACATACCCTTTCTAGGAGGATTCAAGCAGTGAACTGCAATGAAAAACACTAGCATGAAGAATGTAGCTGCAGAAGAAAGGGTGACTTACTACAGGGACAACAAAGAAGAGATTTCTTGCTTTTCTGCCTGCCATTCTAAAATTTGTATTTCATCTCTGATCTAAGTTTTCACCAAGCTGGCTTAGTGTCATAATAAGTTCTATAACTATGCTGAATATACATTGAAAAGGGATTGGAAGTGCTAGGTATTTGCTAGCAGAGAGCGATTTGCAATCACTGTCTTCATGCAGGGCCTACACAACCACAAAATCAGAAGGCTCTTTCCTGAAGACTCCTTCCTTACATTTCATCTGCCTAAATGAATACAGAGATTCTACACAGAGCACAAAAAATTACCTACAAAAATACAGATCATTCAGGAGCAAAGCCTGACCACGATGCTTTTATACTTTTTTTTTTTTCTCCCCAGAGTTGTGGGTTACTGTCATGCATCATCAGGCATCACACCTTGTACAAGTTTTACCCCCCAAGGAGACAGTCTGTAAAACACATTTACAACAGCTTTAACATTTAACATAGCCGACAGACAGAGTTCATCAATACATCTACCTCTTTCTATGTTCATGCAAGATCCTATTGATCCCATTAGCAGATCTCACTCTTAACCCTATTAGGCTGATGTAGCTGAGTATCTACTTTAAAAATCACTGCTATTCTCTGCTAAAGTGAGGCCAGCACCACCTGTCAGACTGCAACCTGGCATGACCTAGAGCATAGACAGGAAAGCCTGTCCACTTGTTTCATCAGCAGGTCTTCCTTCCTGGCACTGATAGGCCCAAACTGGAAACAGAGGTTACTATTTCTGTCCTGAGTTTTGGGTACTGGTGGAATGTGTGCACAGGGCTTAACCTTTTCACACCCAAGACAGTCCCAGTGACTTTGGCGATGTATCAAACCTCCATTTGCTAGTATTGAGAGCTCTGAAAAATACAGTGTTAGCAACCTGAAATTTAAAACTGATCTTTCGTCTAATTGAGTTTGATCTTCTCTAAACTTCCACATTTGATCTCCAGGCTAACGGAAAAATTAAAGCCCTAAACCTGCTGCTGTACTCAAATTCATTGCAGATCTAAGTGAAGACATTTTTTAAGCCTCTATATCAAGCAAGGTAACACTTCAGGAAGGAAGGGAACCTTAAAATAATATTAAAATAATATTTTAAGGTAACATGAAGTAAAGGGACATCCTCAGCTCTGCTACTTGATGTATAGCGTCAGCTGGCCAGGTGGAACATTCCCCCTTACTGCAGACAAAAACCACCCACTGCTTGGGGTAGAATTAACTCCCCTGTAAGGTACACTGGTTTTACACACATCTTCAAAAATGAAACAGAAAGATGAGAAAGCAGATGTTACCACCAGAGATGCTGGCTGATCAAACTGTTCTGAGACAGCAGCCAGTTCCCTGCCCTGCCTGCCACAGCCAGCTGCTCCAGGTGACAGCACAGAACATCAAGAGAGCACCTTGCCTGTTTTGCAGGCCTACAACAGGAGTAGGTTTCCCCATCCTACATGGGGGTCAGATAGGTCGTATGGATCAGCAGCCCTCAACAATCACTCTTACCTATCATACTACAAATACTACTATTAGTTATTTGGCATAGCACTTGGACCACTTCCCTTGAAAGCAAAGTTAATATAAATTACCATAAATACACGTTCAGTTAACGGGACCAAACTCTGACCTCTTTGTGTACTCATCCAACTGTCTGTGGGAAACAGGGCCTCTACTGGAGAGCGCTCCGTTTCCATAAACTACTCTTCGTCTCTGCTGCCTGTTTATGCCAAATACGGTAAAAGCACTGGTCCACAGGCAGTCACGTCGGGAACGACCAAGTCCTTCCAGAGATCATCAAGACTGCCGTTAGCTCTTGTGTTTCCAGGTACCATAGCAGCACATGGACACCTTCCAGGTTAACTCCAACTACACTGAACACACCATTGTACTTGCTAAAAAAGGTTTAAACAATAAATTTAGATAAAAAAGAAATAATCTAGCCTTCAGATTCCCAGGCATATTGCTACCTTTGTAGAATTCCTTCTTTTCAGTCTCAGTTAAGTTGAGGTTCCCTTTCCTCCACATACAAGGATGAGTGCAGGCACTTGCTGTCATTTTGAAATAGCCAAATATATCTTCTATAATTACAACATAGGACAACAGTATTATGCCAACATATTTTATTAGTCAGTATACACAGTGTGCAATTAGTGACTCACTACAGACAGTCAGAGGGAGGATTTGGCTCCGAGTACTCTTTGTCACTATCCTCCTTGAAATAGCTTAATACAGCAAAGACATCTGATTCATTTCTATATATCTCTGGTTTTCATGCAATAAAACCACAGGCAAATTTAGCAAAACCAGGACATAAATCAGGTGCTCTCTAAAGATCAGTGATGAACATGCCTAGAAGAAGCTCTCAAGTGCTAATAAACATGTAGTTTTACTGACATAAAACAGGTCACACACTAGGCTTTCCCAAAAGCATCTGTACCATTCCACTCACACCTTGCACCAATGTTGACAAGTCACTCTCCCAATTTTTGTCCCCAGTCAACAAAAAACAAACCCCATCACGAGAACTGGACTCACACTTAACACTACAAAGGTTTCTTTCACCGGTTCCTTCTGTGCTCCGCAATGTTGTAAGTAGTGTGGGTAACCTGGACAAGGTGCCCCACATTAGAGGAAAGCATAACATCCCAGTGCCAAGCTCAGAAGGCCATCAGGGACCTCAGTGCCCCCAGGGTCATACAACTCAGCTGCTTTCATAAAGGAACACAAAGCACTTGGGAGCTGGATGCTTCAGAGCTCTGTGAGCAGAATCGTAGTGGTGCTATGTTTTCCCCCCTCCTCAGTCAGTAAGCATCATCAACATGTAAAGCACATCTTTATGCACATTTCAATTTGACACACAGGACTAAGCTGTCTGGGTCTTAGCTGCTTCCCTGGCCAATCACTCCTCAAAACAGGGAATCCTATTTCTAGACCAGCTCTTAGGAATCATGCACTTCCACTGATTAGAATGGAGCGCTCCCAGCATCTTGTTGCAGTGCTGAATCACAATTTTGAGACCCTTTTTGTTTACTATATTTAAATGAGGTTGAATAGGGCTTCCTAGAGAGCTGAGCAAACCACTTCAAGCCATACAAGAGGTAAACAAGCTGGTTTTGTTAAATTCTCCAAAGTGCCCACTGGGTCTGTCTGGAGCAGATAAAAAACCATCTCCTTTCAGGCACAGTAAGTAATACTTTTAAATCCCTAAGCACATAGCCCAAGAAGGGCTGATCTGGGAAGTCTAGAGAGATCGTTTGTGAAAAATGTGTATTCAACAGAAATATCAGAAGCAGCTTTTATATCTTCAGGGCACAGAAGAACTACCATTCCCCCCTGACATACACACACTCCCCTCATATCAATTCAAAACACCAACCACAGCTGCCAAACCAAAGGAGCACTTCTTTAGATGGAGCAGTTACTGCCATGTACTGAGCTTAGTAATGTACACTCCACTTCATCAGGGTCTCAAAGAAGCAGAGGAAATTAAAGCATGCAGCAGTAATGCCAAAACCTTTCCCACCCTTTTGAAAATTTCCCACAGGGTGGGTACACACAGGCACACACATACACACAGAGTATTGTGAATTGCCTCTACCAGACAACTGGTCCAACCCGTAAGTAAACGCCTCTGGAAACAAATGGATCAATCTAACTGGAACAAAGAAGGCCACTGACAAAGATCACTGGTCATTTAACTTTTCCTCAGCTCCTTAGAAGTACTTTATTTTTCTAATTGTGCATACAAAGAGGGAGAAGAGGTGGCATCTGACACCTCAACTTATTACAGGAAGCATACATACTAATCCACGTGCATGCTTGCAAAGGTGAGTGCCTATGTGTACAAGAGCAGAGCTGGCTGGCATACCGAGTGTGTTCAAAGTGTTTTGGACGCATGTTTAACAAGATATCCTTATGAAATTCCCTCATCCTTCTTTGCTCACAAGGAAGCCCAAAACACAGCCCTGCAGCAGGTCACACACCAGCAGAGTAAGTAGATGCCCTTTGAAAGCCAACATGCCCCTCAGAAGACAGTCAAATGCAATTGCTCTGCTCTTCTTTCTCATCACATTCCCAAATGGAAAGATCATGTCTGTACTGCTGTCATCTGTTTTATTCTAGGAGATGCTGGAGACTCTTCCTCTGTTTATCCGATTACCTGGTGTAGGCTTTCCCTAACAACGTGCCTCATTTCTTACTGGGATGAGACAGTCCTGTGATCTTCACAGTCTGTCTAATGTTTGGCACTCATTTAAAAAGCAAGTTCTCCATTCCAGTTGTGAATTAAATTGTGATACTGACACAGCATAGAGACAGATCAAAGATGGGATACAGGGGAATAAGGTTACGACTGAGGAACTACATCTGCTATTATATGAGCCCTTAAGGCCCCCCTTCACCTAACTTGCTCTGTTATCCCACTGCTCTAGTCCGCTCCATCTCTCAAAGCCAAGGCGGCAGACTGAGAAGGGAAGTCCACACAACCCTACAGCTGTTGCACAGATTCCAGCTGTTCCCTGCAGCTCTTATATCAGTCTCATCCAGAAGACCAGCAAGGGCTGGAGAGAGGCCAGCTTCTCAGGCCCATATGAAAGGCCCAGATGGGGTTTCTCCACACAGCATGGCTGGTTAGGCCCCAAATCCTGCCCATTCAGCAACTGGAGACTCAGAGCCTGGACTGAAAGTTTCCCTGAAAACCTGCCAAAATGCCACACTTCACTGCATTCTAGGCATATCTGTTGCCTGTGCCTCATCTGCCCCATCTCAAAAAAAAAATCAAACCCCAAAACACACAAAAAACAACTGAAAACAAAAAAAAAGCCATCCAACAGAGACCCAGAGATCTGCCATGTTCAAGATGACATTATCCAACTATGGAACACATTACAGTGCTGGCATTTAAAACTCTGCACTGGCTGCTCATGACCACTGGAAACAGTGTCAGTTCCAGCTCCAGGCATCATCTATCAATTCAACAGACATCCATGAACTCTTATGAACTTGCCCAGTTAAAACTTAATTGTGCTGATGAGCAGCTCCTCAAAGAGGATATACCTTTTTACTTCGACCCCTATGATTATCCTTATCTTGCCAGTCAAGCTACCAAAAACACAAAAAACCATCACAAACCCAGCCACAGCAGAGCCCCACTTACTAACCGGCCTCTTCTCAAGTTTTTAGTGAGTCAGGGATGCTGAGGCCTCTTTCACAAGGCAACACCAAGCTGATCTTAGCTGCCGAACACCAGCAGAAGCAGCAGCTGCTCCCTACCAGCAATTACTGCATTGCAAAGGAAGCCAGCTGCTTTGGGTACTCCCTTGCAACAATACCTCTAAGAGCTTGGGCACATCTCCACTTAGAAGAGGCTCCCTGCTGAGCAGAAACCACAGGACAGACTGAGGTATACATACAGGCATACGTCACTGCTTATTGTGTGCAATATCCCAGGCTATGAATCTTTTGACAGCAATAAAGTTTACTCAGCTTTTCCTCCCTACCAAGCATTTCAGTAATACAATGTACAGACTTCTATCATTTTTCACAGACAGCACATAACTGTAATCTAGCAAATTGCTTCCCTGCTACACTCAAATTTAATGTAGAACAGATATCTTGGAATTTCAAAGTGATGGGCCTTTACTAAGTTTGGTACTTCATCTCATCAGCTACTACATTATAAGTAATATTTTCCACACAGCACCACTTTTGTAGTGGCTTATGCGTAGATTTCCAAGTTTCGCATGAATCACGACATCTTTATATTTAGGTATATACATTTATATATTTATATTTACACACATATTTATAAATCTATTTAAAATACATTTTTATATTCATATATACAGAATGACTTAAAAAAACCCTAAACTCACTCCAAACCCAAATTTTGGGTGTAATAACCAGTTATTCTCATGGAATTTTGACAAAAAGCAGCTCAGGCAATGCGTGGCAAGCAGACAGGTTTTGAGCAATTCTCTGAACTTTTCAGCTCTTCATAAAAATTTGCCCTTAAAGTGTCTGCTATCCTTTTCACAGCAATTAGGTACTGTGTTTGTTTCTTCTTTCGTACCAAAAAAAAAAAAAAAGCAGTAGTCAATTATTGTGATTTTTAGATTTCCATTAAGCCTTGAATTCACTCTAAAGCATGAAGCTGACTGACCAGGTAGCTAAGATTTGGTTACAGGTGACCATTTTCTCCTAACAGGTCTTGCCAATGGGCCTCCTTTCCAATTAAAAGAAACAGGAGTAGTTTTCATGGCCCATCTAGTGGTTGTAGGCTGAGATTGCCAGCAGTGGGGTTAGTTGGTACAGACAGCACAGAGGGGTTTAGCAGTAAGAACACTTTTTTCCCCTCCCCTCAGAATGTGAGGCAAAAAAAACCATGTTTTAAATTGGGCTGTATAAAGCAAACACGCCCTCCTGTATACATGTAGTCTCTCAGATTTTTAATGCTGGTTCTCAGTTCTCCAGCCTTGCTCAAAGGACACAGTAACTGCTAGTGTTATTCTGCCTGGTGAAGGCAAATGAGCTACAAGTAAAACAATTTTGCTAAAATACCTGGCTCAAGTGCCATTCCTTCCATTGTGACGATACACAGCAAATCTGCCAGTTCACCCTGGTAAATTGTCGGGTTGTCAGAATGCACCGAGACATTAAACACAGGACCTAGAAAAGAGTAACCACAATTATTCATGACAGACTTTTCTTCACTGTCCAAAACCTTTCTTGCATGTTTTTGAAGTATTCTCTGCTAGTTTGTGGAGACAGAGCTCTGAAGTAGGGATAAGCGATCATGTAGGTTGTCACAAAATAGTTACCCATATTTAGCCATTAATTCCTACACTAAGACAAAGTATCCAAACTGCCAGACCTGTCACCCAACACAGAGGCTGCTGCCCAAGTCTGTCTTCTACTGTCCTGCACAAAAGGAGCTGGTCTTCCACTGATGACTCCTCTAAGAGCATGAGAGTTCCAGTCTTCAGGCTAATCCAGCATTGATTTTTTGGCTAAGGTTGTCAACAGGAATTCAAGTTAGAGCAAACCAGTATTTGAACAATACAGGTGGTTCTGCTACAGAACTGAAACACAGACAATACAAGAAGTGCATCTGATAACACTTTTCTGTGGGTTTTCTTTCAGGCTCTGCCACAGATAGCTGCTTCTATAGAACATGTCTCAAAACCCCAGCAGTAATTCCTTCAGTTGCAAAGTGGTGATACTGATGAAAACCATTAGGCTGTTATGAAATGCTCAGACACAATGACAACATGTGGTGTTTGACTTCTGAAGTACGTAAGTTAAAAAACAAAACTTCCCCAAATTTTGACAACTGCATCTCTGGTGCAAAATTAACAAAACCACAACTCCTCAGATACACCAATATTGCTAGTACCCTCTATCTCACAGGGCAGAAACTGAAGAATATGTCAAAATACCCTTAGTGATTTCTCTACTAAACAAGGAGATGAGTAGAGAGAAAGCTGACGCTAATGGTGGCCTCCAGGATGGCTTCGAGGGAAGGGGACAGGGAACCCAAGAAGGAACTTGGCACTCAGATTAAGAAGTAACCCTTTTTACCCTCCCTGGAGTCCATTAGCTGCAATCATTACCTGGCTCAGCTACGTGTGGGACAGCAGCAGCAGCAGCAAGCATAGAAAGATGGTTTGGGAGGAAAGAAAAGCTGTTGGAAGATTTGCCCTCCTCCACTCACATGCTACTGTTTTAGTACAGGAACTGCAGATTTAAAATCCACTGAAGATCAGTAGCAAACAATGCTTTTAATGGAGAACATTTAAGGAAATCATCCAAGACATCCTACTTGTTCCTTGCCCTCCCAATAGGGTTCTATGGATAGGTTCTGGAAAGAAACTTGGATATGCCATGAAGCTAGAGCTGTCATTTTTGCTGAAATTATTCTAGACTACAAGGGCCTGGCTTGTTTTGGTCAGCAGAGATTACACAGCACCCTGAGAAATTAATTCCAATTACAATGCAATAATTACTTCTGGGGCTTCCAAAATTCCCCCCACAATTTCCAGTGGGCACAATGTACTGCTCTTTGTTATACCATAAATTTATTACAGCCCTCTTCTCTGCCCCAGAAGCAGTTGTACTCTGTACACAAAGACAGTATGTAGACAAATAATCCCAGAGGTTTGTACCCATTTTGACCCTAGAAGTCCTCTTTATTAATAATCAAGATTGCAAGTTACCCCACCAAGCAAGGATAAAAGGGTGGTAGAGATGCAATAGAGGTTACACATGGACTACTAGCCAAGACTCCTACATGCTTAAGCTAGAACGTATTTAAGGAAATAAGAGACCCAGAATACTGAAGTCCAGCTGTTCAGGCAGTGACTTCACCAGCAGGCTGCAGCCCTTAAACTCAGCATACTGGGATCCTTTTCTGGGGAAATGGAGAGAGTTATAATCCGATTGCTTCCTCAGCCTCTATCCAAACTCTTTCTGTGGGAATTCAATTTGTTTCTTGACATTCACACACACACCCCCTCCAACCACATTCCTCTTGCAGCCTATTTGATTATTTGTCTTCAGATAAAACAAGACATGTTCCATCATTTTCCTTAGAGTTGTGCAGACAGAAGTTCAAGGTCCTAGGGGACTAAAGGCAGCATGGACCAGGGCACTCCAGCCAATTGCAACCAGAATGTCTCAAGCTGTGTGTGAACTGTCACAACAACAGAAACAAAGAGACTGTCAAAATCTACCAGGAACATCCCTGCATTTCCAGCACATACCCTCTGCTGCACTGTTCAAAGGCAAAACAGCACCATAATAATCCCGGTACGGTCTATAGCTCAGGTCTATCCTAAGTCCCAGCAGCAAGTGAGGTGACATGACGTCAGAAATAAGGGATGCACGCTATTCCAGCAAACGGGCTCTGTCCTGGCTAGATGCTGGCAAAGATTGAGCAAGGGAGATGAACTCCATGATCCAAACTTTGTCAGCTACAGATGGGCTGCCTTACCCCTGGCCTAGCCGGGTAAACAAGGAAGGACAAAGGGTACCTATAGACAGGACTGTTCAGGTCTTATTTCTAGGTTGAAAGTCCAGGCACCTACTGCATTCAACAAGACATTGGCTTCAAACCCTGGCATGCCAACCAGTAATGCAGAGAGGAGTCTGAGCACTCCTGGCCATGGAATGTCATGAGGGTAAAAGCTAAGCTTGTCTGGTCACTCAGCCAGGAAAGGCCATGTATCATGGTAATGAAGCACTCCCTACATACTCTTCAGTCTGGGTCACCAAGCACCACCCTACCCTGCCTCACACATGAAGAGTCAAAGCTTCCTGGGTGAGTAAGAAGGCTGCTAGGCAGCAGCTGCTCTGTCATTTCATGATCGTACTTCCCCCGGGTAAGCCACAAACAGTTATTTCCCTTTGGTTATTTCCCTACTAGGGTACATCTCCTGCAAATTACCATCCGCACCTCCAGGGAGAAATCACTGTCCTGCGTTAGAAGAACTGAATTTCAACAGAGAGTCGAGAGATGTGCCAGGGATTGTGCTCTTCCCTCTGCAGCTGAAGAGGGATGACAATTACTTTTTTTTTTTTTTTTAAACCCTTCATTACAGTGAAAGCTTCTTAGTGCAGTCTTGAAAACTGTGTGGTTGCAACTGCCTAGGAGGAGCATCTTTCTTCTTTGGAAGTATCTCAGGCCTTCTGCCCACATGCTCCGTGCCCTGGGCCTCAGGCATGGAAGGACAGAATAAAGCATCTTCACAGATTTCCCCTTCCCACACGCTACAAAACCTGAAAAGGCAGGAGGCTGTTTTCAACAGAGACCTGTTAGCCCTGACCTGGACCACAAAGACCATTTAAACTCCTACCCTCCACCATAATATAGACTTGAGTCAGAGCTGTACTACACAGCCTGGTAAAGATTCACAGAAGCTGCCAACATGGCTCTAATCCTTCATTAAAAGTCATCTGCATGCCGCTCTTCTCTATAGAAGGGTTCTGGTCTTGTTTTTGTTTGGTTTTATTCTGAAAAACCCAACTGACTAGTGCTTTTAACGTGATTATAACTTGCCTGATTTATGTCCCCAGCTTAAACAATCTACTCTGGCTTCAGCTGAATCTGTTCAGTAACAGGATGAGAGAACCAGGAACTATCTGGATGCTAATCTCAAACAAAAGCAGCACCAAACCAATGTTTGTTAGTGTGTTACAAGCAAAACCATCACTTTATCTAACAGGACATCTGCTTTACTGCAGACTCAAGAAAAGCACCTGGGCAAAAAAAGAGGATCAGAGCAAACATGGGATGCTTCCAGACACATTTTCAGGCTCCTGAGGACCTCCCAAGAGGTCACAAATGTCCCACAAAAATCTTCTGCAACATGTGGATCCTGTTGAGTTCCCTGTCCCCCCATTACCATCATACCTATGATGTATTCAAGAGGCTCTGGATCTAGACTCCACCAAGCACAGCTTAGCACACAAAACCCAAGTGCTTTTCTTAAGTTTTTACCCTCAGAGATTAAAAAAACCCACTCAATCCCAAGCTTACAGATGCAGGCATATGGTAACAGGCAACTCCCAGTAGACACTGATGATGCTTCCTGTGACGCTGCAAGTACTTGAGCACAGCGATGCTGAGACCCTGATAGTCAGCGTTGGGGAGATGACATGAACTCTTCTTTGATGAGATCCGAGTTCATGCTACATTAACACCAAGAAAAATAGAACTCTACAGATAACAGATGATGTGGCTTTGCTCACCTTGCCACCTCTATTTAACAGTTTGAAATACTGTTATTGGCACCTGCTGGTCACTTGGGAGAATAAACAAAACATAATTTAGTTTCAATTGCAGGGTTGACAGATCAAGCATGACCTGCAAAGCTCATCAAGGACAAAACAAAGTTAAGTGTAGGAAAGCTGCTCAGGAGTTTGAAAGCTGAGAAATAATGGGATTTTAATAACTTCCGCTTTGAAGGTAAGTGTCATGCCCTCAGCTAATTTGGAAACTAAAAGAACACAGATTTACAAAACAAACCAGAATTCCCAATTCTAAGAGCTAAGCATCAACCTTCCTCTAAATAGCCATCTTCTGCTGAGACCTTTAATTTAAACTAAGCAAAAATCTTTGTTCCTTACTATAGTAAAAGCCATATGTAAACTTCCATATAAACTGTAAAAGAAGTTTTCTTCTTTATTAACGTAGTAATAATTTTATATTAAAAAAGCATCTGCAGTCAAGATCAGAATAAAGAGTTTTCAAAGCATTTATTGATTTCTGAATGCTTGTAAAACATTATATAATCTTAAACAGAAAGTGAAGAAACTGAGGTTAGAAGTTTACTAGTACAAATCTAGAAGTGCTTAAAGAGAAACCAGGTTCCAGGATCAGGACCTGTTTGGTGTAATTTCTTCTGAATGTCCCCTTTTATGGCAGATCTCACTGCTCAAACCATTGATTTCATGCAAGCCAGGAAGGCAACTCCAGGATCCAAATCCTATAGTGATAAGAGTTTTCAGCTAAAAAGTGTATGGCAAATTCTTCCACATATGTAAATGAAAGGAAAGAAGTGTTTATAAGCTGCACCAAATTTGGTTTATTACTTTGTGCTCAATCACACTGAATATGCGCTGCAGGGTGGAAAGGAAGAGTTCAAGTTTATTGAGTTAATTTACTCACC